AGTAAGAGACTTTTTGTGCGGGTCAGAGACAACAAAGTCAGGCTATAAGAATGTATTATTATCACAATCTGGGAGTTGTTCATATATACAAAAAATCAAATAATCGTGGTAAAATACATCAAATATTTCTGAAACCAAGGTATCTTTTGATATGAAGTCAGAACATAATTTCAACTTTAATAAGTATTAATGTATATGTATTTGACATACTGGGGAAAATTTGTACGAAAGCAACTTCTACGTAACTAAAAGCGATACGTGTAATTACAACCTGGTAATGTTTACGTTGCCTTTAATAGTTTCTGATGGCTTATTTATTTGGTGCCCCAAAATGCCCTGGTACGGCCGAGAGTCCGCTCTCCTCTTGAAATGCTCTCACATGGTTACGCGTATACATTCTCTGCCAGCGAAATCTTACTCACTGCCTTCTCGTGATGGGGACGTTGTTCACGAAAGTGAGAGGACGAAAAGCGAATGTCCGGCGCTTTAACCGGGCTGGTGGACACGGAAAGTCCACCTAGGGCAGTTGGAAAACCCCTGATTCCAAACCAATGGTGTACATAGGCTCCAGTATTCTGATGGAACAAATGGCGAATGAATCAGTTATTGGTCACCGGCTACCATGGGACTGCATCTCCTCACGATGCTCCACTGCCTCGTGGATTAGACCTTTAAGTCAAAGGCTCCGGGTGTGGACCCCTAAGAAAACCACCTGCTTCGGTTTGCGCACCTGGGTAGTATCACAGCCCTCACGCAAATTGAATGAAATCTGTGTGGCGCTCATGTATATGATACCTCCTTGCACCAATATTTATGTGTTCAAATAATAATATTTATTTAGTATGATAAAATATATTACTTATTAGTAGTAGACGTCTACTGACGAAACTAGTCAGCCTTAATTTGGATGGATTTCAAAAGTAATATGTAAATACGATAGGACATTAAATAATTTTAGACAACATACTTGTCACACATCCTGTTCTCACACCAATTTTTTTACTGACGGCAGATTATTATTTACAATGTCACAACAGTTTAAATTAAATAATATTTATCAATGAGAGCTTATAACATAAAAATGTTTAACTAAATTAAAACTTCACATTGATTGATGAATTGGGTAGCATTAGGTTACAATATATACTCGACATATACAACTGATTTGTCGCTAAGTAGTGACCAGTATATTTGAATAATCCTTCAGAGGTGATAACATTTTTTCGTTTAACAAACTGTAAGTATTAGACATGACGTTCGTCATTCACTACTACAGTTTTTAATTAATATGAAACGTAGAATCTGACACAAGTGCGTCAGTTCAGGTTGCTGCATCACATCAGGGTAGCTAGGATTGATCCTATAGTAGAAAAGACTGGGTATAGAAAAAGCAGATAACATGAGATTTCGGCATTCGGTCCTGAGAAAAAATCATGGGTGAACGGACCTGCATCAATGTGACCGATTTTGAGCCACGTTACCCAACATTTTTAACAATTGGTTATGATAATCTAGGACCCTAAAAAATTAATCAGCACCTGTCTACATGACTTATACCAACAGTCAACTACTTCAGGGACTAACACAACGTTTCGGTTTGATTGTCTCAGGTTGTCTTCCAAAATACTCTTACACCAGGAAAAAATGTCTGTTCTGGACAAGAAATATATTAGACAATTTATAAAGAAGTACAAATCTCTAGAATACTAGGTGTATAGTATTTGTAAAGTAATATATTGGGAATTATGACAATGGAGAAATAGTAAACGAGTGTACGCATGAATAGTAATCCAGATAAAAGTCAAATAATAAAAGATGTTAATTGACTGGTCTAGCTTACTCTTGAAAAATAATCTAAATTACGAATAACACAGCGATTCATCAAGAATCTGACACAACCACATACGTGGGGATGAACTGTGTTGTTATTGTGATGTACATGATAGTCTTTACATCTTTCAAATAATACTCATTATGGTAGTAATGAATATCAGCACAGCGACTCTTAACTATATTTGGTTGAGGTGAGTTTAGAGGACGGATGTATACTGTAACACTATTTTAGCAACCAATACATCTATCATAAGGGGTTTTGTGGAGATTTCAGTATTTTTAATAGTTGAAATCATGAGTCAATTGAAGCTAGACCACTATGGGAAACCTGGATGCACTGAACGGCCGTTTCGTCTTATTATGGGACCCCTCAGCAGTGCACATACACGATCCCGCCTCGCGAGATTCGAACCCAGGACCTGCCAGTCTCGAGCCAGAGCGCTTAACCGAGTTCTAGTGGGAAGCAGCGACCAGTGGAGTTCAACCGTCTGTTGTGAGATAACAACTCACTGAAGACAATCGGTGAACGGTTGCTCAAACTTCGTGGATTGGTTGAAGTTAGACATTAACACCTTTGGATGCCGGCTCAGTGGTCTATCGGTTAAGTCCTCTGGCTCGTGACTGGTAGGTCCTGGATTTGAATCTTGCTCGCGAGGCGGGATCGTGGACGCGCACTGCTAAAGAGTAACACAATAGGACGAAACGGTTGTCCAGCGCTTTCAGGTTTTCCATGGTGGTCTAGCTTCAAATATCTCATGATTTCAATACACCTATCATGATACTGTGCTGGCACTAGTTACCAACTTATTAAATGCTACAGGTGGAGAGAGAATTCCATGATAGTGACTTAGGAAGTTTAAGTCAGTTATATAACTTCTAAAAATAAATAGCACTATACTTAATAATGTCTTTACCAGCTGGCAAGATATTTATAATTAGTAAAGGTACCAATAAACTTAAAACTGACCTACTTCGCTTAGCTATTGTGATCGCCGTTGTGATGAATTAAGATATCACACTGACTTAGTTTGGTACGACTCCACCCTTAAAGACCAAGAGTGAATATTTTTTGTCGATAGCACCTTGGTATCACATTCTGTCAGACAGATATACTTTCTCGACAAAAAGCATCCGAAAGTAAGCCTCGTTGGATTCATGAAAGTTAGAGTTTGAACATTTCTATTCACCATAACGAACACATTAAAACAGGAACGAAAATACTGTCCCAGGTAACGAATATCATATCTGTGTGAGTCGAATGAAAATCAGCAATTGAGACCAGTTAACCGACGTTCTTTTATAACTTCTGTAAAATATTTATACACAGATTTAGATTTGTAACTCTTCTACGTTCTCCTTACCAACTGCAGGAACAAATTACAGACTGAAGTATAGTTTATTTGTACTAAGTTATAAAAGTAGAAACCGCAACCAGTATACTAATTCTGTTAAGATTTCACTCGGGAACTATTCAGAATCAAGTAGGACGAATAAGTAAATCAGAGGGTACTACAACATAAAAGCCTGAGATGCTCATTACCATGCTAGCCTTAAACTGTTTATTCTTAAGTGCTGCAGTTCTATCAAGAAAGACTTCTGATGAATCTAAACGACAAATATCAAACTTGAGTACACCAGGTTACAAGGAACTCACACAAAACTCTTTCGGTTAAACAATTAAAAGTAAATCAAACCATATTTCGATTCACAGAACGATATATTCGAGAGGATGAACTCAAAAGTATGTCACCGACAGGGGACAACCAATTTACACAAGCTGTCTCGTGATATATAGCGCTTTATTTAGAGGTCAATTAACAAAATTTACCAGTCAAGCCGGGTATATGGGGCTACACATCTTATTTGTTTAGACTAGTGGACAAGACTTGTATTTCAAAGAATTCCGATGATTCAAATTACAACTACGAGCCGGTAAGTTACATCCTGACAAACCTGGTAATTTTGAACAAAGTAAAGATATCCTTTGCAGAATAAAGTAACGGCTCAAACTGTTCGGGCCGAATTGGATGATCTGACTGATGATACGAACACTTTTGCTTACAGAATAGTAGGTTGTAATCGATGCTTACATTTATGTTAGCTGCTGATTGTAGGAAGAAATAGTAGTAGTGTAACATGCATGTATAGCGCATTTTAGCTATTATCAAAATGATTTGAATTCATTTTTGATAATAGTAGACCATTAGCTATAGGCATTATCAACAGTTAAGAAAATTCCTATTCCCGGATAAGTTCACAAGAATTTACCAACAAGACGCCTGTTGATGATAGGAGTGTCATACACTTACAAGACATTGGTAACTAATGTCCAATAAAAAGCACATGACTCATATTCTTTCAATTTCATAAAGTAATGTTGTGATAAGGTTTATATCGCATCACTCCGTAATAAAATATAACCGACCTATAGTTTTATCACAGGATACATATACAAACATCATGTGTAGTAAGAGAACTAAGTGAAGATATGGTCTTTGGTGACTATGACCGGTCAAACAGTTGAATGCCTGCACGATAGCATACAAACTTCTAAAAGGTAGTTTATCAACAGCACACTTCGTGAGTATATATAATATCATTGTATTTGTGTCTACCAATACCTTGTACATGAACACTTATCCATGACCAAAAGCGATAGTTTTAGATAATGGGTGGAAGTTAGCAAACCTAGTAGCATACACACAGAAGCTGCACAGCGACTCCGCCTTTAAAAAGACAGTAGTAACTAATATGTAACACATACTAAGGATTGTTTTAGAGAACTAAATATTGTGAAAAACAACCTGGAACATAACACATCACGCATCGCTATTTATTCGTGATTGGTTCAACACTGAGTTATACGTCTTAGTTACGAGAACTGTTAAATATCAAATGAACATAATAACTTCATGCACACCTGATAGTTTGATATATTCTCGTATCTGATCGCGGAAACAAATGTGTTGTTTAATATTTATATGCGTGCATACATTAATATTCACTACATCACTCGGTGGAATATCACGTTCTTTGGTTGGGCATCAAATAAAGGCATTAAGATAAAGTTTACCAGTTGAAAGGCGTTTTTACAATGAATGGTAACCATGTGTTTAGCAGATTTGAAATGAATAAGACGACTAGCGGATATTACAGAACAGCAAAAGCATCCACTACAAGCTTTATTGTAAAATTAATTACATCTTGTTTTCAGAATATGGAGCAGTTGGTAAAACTTCTTCTTTAGCGGCCAAAATTGTGACGGTGTCAGGCAAAGGTTTCCGTGGACCTTTTTTGCCGGAACTATCGTGATCCAACATAATTTTGACTTTGATTCCTAGTATACCTGAAGAAAAACATAGGTCAATAAGATCTCTGCTCGTTTACCTAACAGCTAAAACTAGTGATAAGACTTACCTTGTGGAAGTTGAACATGACGTACAGCCTTGTCAATGTAATTGTTAACTGGATCTCCAGAATGAATCATGAGTCCATCACAAAACTTCATAGCTTTGGCTCTCTGACCTTTAATTTTACCAGAAACGATAACTTCAGCACCCCTCGCTCCAGATTCCATGATGAATCGGAGTATACCATAGCATGCTCTACGAGAGTCTTGTAAAGATCTACACTTACTTCCGTACAGGCAACCCATATGTCAGTTTGTACCTAAGTGATTCTGCTTGCGCAATAGCGCTCAAACCACGGAAAGTCATCTTTTCAGCAAACAGTCCCAAGGTACCGTCAGCAAATCCGAAACGTTTTTGCAGGACCGAGGTGAGCTCTCGTATACGGCGTGAACCCTCACCAAGAACGCTTTGGGTTTTTGTAGCTAATATGATGACTTCTGTGTATTTACGGCTTTCACGAACTTGGAAACCACTGTAACCATCGTCAGCTAATTCACGTTTGAGGAACTCATCTAACTCAGCCTTAAACACTCCAGCTTTTATAAACTTAATCGGTAAACAAAACTTGGAGGAATAAACAAACCTTCCGTTTGAGAGATATTTTCCCCGTATTCGCCATTGTACAACCACGATTTGCCCGCTGATTCGCGCCGTCACGTCGAGGTTAAATGCAGCGCGCATTATCAACATGAGGACGAACAAACACATGAAAATACAATGTTTTTGCAATACTGCTATTGATGTCATAACACATATATAACGTAGATTTGTCACTGCAATTTGTTTCATACGCGCAGTATATTTATGTCAATGAATGTGATTTAACTCATGCTGACACAATGTTTATACGATGAAGCATTGGTTTTCCAACCTTGCAAATATTGAGGTCATCAGATCTCTTTTTCTCAGTTGAATCAGATAGTTATTATTTTTGACCGTATGTTTTTACTGTGCTACGTTCTTGGTCTGACTGGAGTAGGCCGTCAATCATTCGATAGAGATCATCAACGTCAATAATCTACAAGTGCTATTGGATCTTTCCTATAGTTTTCTGGGGATAGTATAAGTCACTAACGTAAGTCTACAATTTAATGTCTGTCGATTGAGGTCAGATCTATTAGAATTTCATGGGCGATGAAGTGAACTCTCACCCAAAATGATATGAACATGTATGTCTTGATTCACGTAAATCTACAGACTTTATAAAAATGAAATTTCGTGCATACCACTAGGCATTGTTAAAACGTCTATTCGAGATTTACAGAAAAATCACACAGGGAATTGGTGGATTATCATATTTAGCGGTTTGAAAAGATAGGTAACTTTGGATCTCAGAAATGACTTTTGTCCTAGTATAAACTCTAAGAAGACATATTAGCAATGTTTAGAAACCAAGATCGAATAAAATCTTGGAGGTGTTTACCTTTACTACCAATTAGTGAAATCCTAAAACTAACTAACATAATAAATGGTTTCATACCTTTAAATGACTGAATCAAGAAAAGAATATACACGCTAGCGAATTTATAAGATGATGACTAATTAAGGGGTTCGCCTTGGTGTCTTCAATTTAAGATTTCGGCTCACAAAGTAATACTGAAAAACTCTTCATGAAACCTAGCATTTGTTGAGGTATTTTATTTGAGATTCTTGTTGTATATTATTTATGAAAATAGTGAGAATACCTTCACTTAAATACTTGAGTGGTGGTTCATCAAACGGCCCCAGCACTAATCTTAGCAATCAGTCAGATCTGTGTGCCACTTGTGCCATACGACGAATACTCGTAATTTTCCTCTAAATGTAAGGCTGACAATCTTGATGCATTCATCAATGTATGTTTTATTTATTTTTGGTCTGTATGAAAGCAGAATAATTCACTTTTCATTCACTTTTATCTTTCAGTCGTCTTCCCGTCTTCACGTAGTTTTGCACTATCTTCCCTGACCTTTTTCTCTGACGTTGTATTTCGGTGGTTACTACGTTGAGTGAGCGTGTTATCGATTGCTACTGTATGATTTATTTATTTGAATATCCATAATGTACATAAATCACGTCTTCTGTTTGATAGAAATATATGTCGCTGTTAGAAATTTGGTTGCTTGGATGGTGAGTGAATTGGGCTGATACGCTCACTATGAGCGTCCCTTGATTATCACGAACAGTTTTCTCTCTTTTATTGGCAAATATTTTTCAGCTTATTAACAATTTGCTCACCTGATATATGCCAGATATGTGTGTATCAAAGGTTTCGTCAAATAAATCTTCGGGTTGCATAACCACGTACTACCGTATTCTATATGTAGCAACCTACGTTGTCGGAAAATTCACTAGGTATGGGTAGGGCATGCGCTGTGAAAATTACCATACTGTATAAAAAGGTAGACCCTAACTTAAAGTCCTCTAGGCAAAAGGAAAAGAAGTAGACAAAATAACACAATGAGCTGAAGATTGAGGATGGACATCAAAGGAAAGCATCACAGCTGAAAATAAGCGAAAAGGAGAGTTCAAGATAGAGTTAGATGGAGAATCCTAATGAGCTGCCTGTGTTCCTCCATGAAACGTAACGGGTGTAAGTAGGTGAAGTAAAGCCATTCGACTGGACATTCTGTATAATTCGTAGCTATAGTCCATAGAACCAGAACAGTACTCAACCCAAACGTTGTGTCTTAAATTTTCTTGTGATCGCGTATCTAATTTTTCACCATAGGATACAGAGAATACAAGCTTAATAAGTTTGAACATAGCGTTCTATTAAAGAAATAGGAGGCAAATTTAAAACAACACATATAATATACGTGTTGTAAGTAAAATTTGGATCCTGTAGAAGTGGTAATGGAAACTGCCTTGCGACAAGAGTGTAGTTACGAGTGAAAGAAGTCGAATTTCAACGTACTTTCGATAACTCATCTTACCTCAGATTTCACAACAGGTTATCGTTGTTCTCACTTTGCTTTTGCAACAAGGCGATTGGTGGGCAAGCTTCATCAACCGACTGGGTTCTTGAGATTGAAGTGAAAGTGGAATAAGAGTCCATGAACACATAGCCCTTAACACAGAAGGTATCCCGCCTTAGAACATTTGCTTTCAGGGGTCGGATATTGGTTGCAACACAGTGAGGGTCAACAAAAGCCGACACAGTAGCATTATCGGCTTGAAATGGTCAACCATGAGTGTGTGGTTACTCTGTGTACCATTTTTGACTTCATGTTGTGTATCATATTTATCAAGAGGATGGGATTTTTTGTCTTGAGATTCTCACAAATCAGTACACACTAGCTACAACCTTTGAATGTGTTAGGAGATAAATTGACGTGATATTGAAGTAAAATTATACGGTTTAGATAGTCACGTCGTAAAGAATAAAATATGTTAGACAGGGATTACAAAATCTAGCAACTTAAATTCACTGATATATGAGAGTCATGGTCCCGAGTTCAAAAGTATTTCATTACGAACTCAGCTAACAAAATACAGGGTAGATCGAAATATCGTCAGTGATTTTTGACCCAAGGGTAAACTAAAAACCTTAGGGTATGTACTACCAAGGAGCCCAATGATGGAGGTATTAAAAGTCTGAAAATGTCAGAAATCTTTCAACACACATATATGTCAAGCTATTAGAAGCGAGAAATACGAGTCCACTTAAAGGTATATGAAACGTCCATATTTGTTTCTCTTCGACCAGATGGACGAGGACAAATAAATCAAGAAATGATGGCATTCTAAGCAGTCAAACAGCTGGGCACAAGTTAACTACTAGAACTGAATCGATATATTTAACAGTCACATGCTCCGTCATATGTGGCATTTAAAAATGAGTATGCAGTTGTGTGCACTTAACACGTTTTTATTAAATACCGTACAAACATTCCTCTAACTTCTGGGATAGGATTAGGGAAACTGAAACCCCTGTGATCGGTAAAATCCATAAGGATATGAGGACAGCCATCTTACAACCCTGAAAATGTGCCTGGAGGACATCGCGTGGCCCGTTTAAGTGCATAACTAAGTCGTTGCAGCTCTCGAACGGCTGGAAAAGGGGTTCTCTGCTTTCAGCCAACAAAAAAGAGATAGGAGAGATTAAGCCTATCCTCATTATTTCAAATACTTTTTTATTATTAGGGTTGTTAATGACGAGATATGGGAATACATTATTAAAAGAAATACTGTTTATGAATATGAACATAGGTTTGGAATAGGTAAGTACTGCGATTTCAGAGTTTTACCGCTGGACTTTTGGACAAATTGATGGAACCAGAAAATACCGGTTTATGTAATATTCTTCCGCGACTAACTCAACAACACAAACTCCTTTGAATGAAGGTTATAAAGATGAATCTCACTGATTCACTCCTCTACTCGCTCCACATTTATTTGAACAACTGAACTTTCCAAGCCATGTTTAGTACAGTGCATGTAAACTAAATGAACTTCACATTAGGAGTTTCATGGTGAATTGATTTAGAACCACTCCTGGGTCTTATTTTCGTTGACAACCTTATAGACAAAATTCGCTGAAGATATAAAAGCCGACAACAAAAGAAAAGGACACGCCCGAGTTACGAATGTACACACAGGGCTAAGGAATGAAGTGGTTGACTACGAGTTGAAATTTAGAAATCTTGAACATTAGATCATGAATCTTCAACATTACGAGGCAAAAGGGAGTTAAGTTCATTTTTCTAGTCTTCAAAGAGATCGATCCAGGTTCGCTGAGTACGGTGTGAGGGATATTGTAACGTCATATTCTACGTTAAACCTACATAGCTTTTTCTAGCTCCCGGACAAGCTTATCTGTTCGTTCTTCTTAAAACACATTTTAATCTTGTCACTTATTGGGTTATTTATTCTGACTGTTCGTATATCTGTTGGTTGCTTACATTACTCATCATATATTTGTAGCTAATTTTTATTCCGACTATAAATATTGATTAACGCTTGATTAAACCGAGCTAGATAACACGCTTTCTCCTCTGCATGTCATTTCAATTCGCTCCATTCTCTTCGTTTAGTCCTTCTGATTGTTTGTTCGAATCAGTCAGTGTACAAATTATACGTATTTAAAAATCCATTCTCGCATTTGACCTGTTTAATTACGTTATTCATCAACGCGGATTAATTTGATTATTATATACAAGGATGGGCGATATATATATATATCTCAATTGCAATCAGAGATGACCCAAATGTAGTCATATATACGGCCATTAGAGTTGAGCTCAGATATCAGTGAAGGCCACAGCGGGAAAACAGCCAAAATCTACAACCCCTCGCTTTTTGCCAAGACAACTCGGCGCTATCGGAAAATGGCTGCTTCTAACACTACTAAACACACGTACGGACTCAGCCCAATAGTCACGGCTCACTTGCACCTTTCTTTTGATGAGACTAAAATCTTTTGGAACTAGTATGGAGACAAGGAGCAAAGTGTGCGATGTAGCCGAGGAAGAAATCATACAAGGGCAGATGTAGATAATTGTGATTGTTATTCTTGAGGAGGAATTGATAATGACGTGCAACATACTCAGTATTTTCATCGTTCAACCACCTAGCCACCTGTCTGTTAATATGATAACTGTTCGTTCCAGAACATGTAGTGCCCTGGGACAAATGTATTCACTTAAATTTCAGGAAGGCAAATGACCAATTAACTTCAATGGGTTTGTAGGACATCGAATATGACGTAGAACCACGAAGCAATAACAAGAAGCTGTCACAAAATAACTACATAGTTTGCAACAGGAGTGGAGGTATCATAGTGATCCGAAGTATTAGAGTTAGTATTTTGACTAAGTATTTTTACCGAAATAGGCAAACCTGAAAAAAGTATCGAGTTTATTAATCGTAGTCAGTATAAGCTAATTTACGCTCACATTGTATTCACATGTCTAAACAAGATACTTGCGAGACAAAACCAATGTTATAAGACGATATAACGATCAAGTATAAAATATATGTGTGCAGTGATGTAAGGTAACGCAGAAAATACCGAGTGCTGAAACTGTCACGGTTGCAAACGACACAACCCAGTTACTGAAACAAGGAAATACGAGACTTCAGGAAATTAGATCTTTAAAAAGCTTAAAAATTTGAGGGGAGTAGTACTCCCATAGTACGTCATAGGTGTGCTGCAACAAAGGTCTCGATACAATCTATGCTGTATACATAAGTGTATTTGAATATACGTATATGTGCCGCAAACGTAGTCGTTTCGCTTTATAACCACACCCAAAAACGTGGCTAGGTATAGTATGTTCGACGAACACAGGTAAACTTTTCAGTATTGTATATGTGTATACGATATGTGTCCAAAATATCTACATGCTCTAAATCCACAACATGTTTTGATACCGCCTTGCATAGAGATTTACGATGAATGACCATCATTGAATGAAAGTATCCATTTCGAACTCCTACTTCACATCCACTATAGGATATTGTACGACAATGAAACATTCTACTGATCACTGCCAAACAAAAATCAGCTGTGATTAAAAAGGATCGAACGATTGGCCCAGCTGTGTCGAAATTCGATTCGTGTAAATATCAAGCAAACGTTTAACGATATACATCTATTAAAATACCCTTTCCGATATGTGTATCTACATGAAGGAAAGGTTTATATAACTGGATAAAAGCATTTTCCTAATTCACTTGGACTAGATATTATTGCTTTCGAACAACATTTCTGTTAAGTCGGCTTACAGTAAACTCTGTCAGAGCCTCCAGAGGCTCGCAAAGAGCCCCAACCAATCAGCGATTAGTCAGAAGCTATGTTACTAAAATAACGAGATCCTGATTGGCTGTTTAACATACTGCAACTATGGAAACTCAAGGTCTCTTAATTACTATAAAACCCCTGTATTTTCTGTACATAAATGAACCTTGTAGTAAAGTACTTCTCTCATACTCGTGTCTTCTTACTGGTGTTCAAGTCGCTGAATAGTTCTAGCCTGGGGTTATCAGAATAGCTTAGGATTCGAATAAAGCGTTCAACCTACAAGACATAACATTGGCGACGGGGAAAACTACAATCAACTTACAAGTCATAACAATTTCTCAGTTTGACAGTTTCATTTTCACTACACAAAGATTAACAACTAGTTTGTCTTAATCGTTATTAGCCCGATATGGGAGTAGGCCAAATATTGATTATTTGGTTTTCTGAAACACGAGAAGCCGCTTGAAATGCAAGGAACAAGAGCTGCTGCTTGCTTTGATCTATCATAGTTCAAGCTGTGAGGTAAATGAGGTCCTGCTAAGCAGTCTCAACACTTGGTCACGAAGTGGTCGATGTCTAATCCTAGGGGACTTTAATGCACTCATGGTAGACTGAGGAAATCTGCGAACTGAATCTTCAGATAATTTCTTCTAACAGGAACTAGTTGATGCGGATATCACATGTGTCCTAGTGCAACATGTGAACGAAGCAACTAGGTATGACCCGGGCTCTGAATAATCCCTACTAGATCTCATATTGACTCACTATAAGGATGACTTTGTGAACCTGGATTACATACCAACCCTAGGCAAAAGTGATCATGCAGTTTTAACCTCTGACTTCCATATAACTGTCGATCACGAGCACGCGTCAGCTCACTCTAGACTTAACGTCTGGAAAGCAAACATACAAGACATCATGCACTCAGCATCATCAGTAGATTGGACAATAGACCCAGAGTCCTCAATCGAAACGGCTTGCGACGTATTTCGAAATTTATACTTAAAAGTTACCGCCCCCCACATCCCTTGGACTACACCTAGGAGGCCGAGAAATTCCCCACCATGGTTCATTAAGTAGGTTCGCATTCTTCTCCGTAAAAGAAGGAAAATGTGGGATTGATTTAAGTTACTGGGGTCTGATGAGGTAAAACATCAGTATCAAAAAGCTCGGAATACCTGTGCCTCGACCCTCCGTAAGTCCAGAAAGCTGTACGAAGAGAAAATTGTTGAGGAGTCTATAGAATGCCCTAAACGCTTGTATTTGTATATAAAACAAAGGACAAAAAGAAGAAGAATTGTCCCTTTACTATGGGGAGACAGTATTGCCTCATCACTAGTGGAGGACGACTTTTGAAAAGCTCAAGTATTCTCACAATAGTTTAGCAATGTATATACCATAGGAACACCCCTCCAGTCCATAAAAATCCCCCCAAACAAACACTGGACAGCGTGACCGTTAAAGAACTCGATGTCCTTGGTCCGCTAAATATGCTTGACACAGGCAAATCCACTGGACCCGATGAACTGCATCCTAGGTTACTAAAGGAATTAGCTAACTTTGTTGTGAACCCTTTAAGTATAGGTTTTAATCTATCCGTAACCCGGGGTCGTCCACCAAAAGACTGGAAGAACGCCATAGTAAGTTCTGTCTTCAAAACAAGTACAAAACATAAGCCTGAGAATTACCGACCCATTAGCCTAATTAGTGTGGTTGTTAAAATCTTGGAAAGGATTATTCGGAAGGATTTGTTTAAGTACCTCGATGAAAACCGGATCCTCTCCGAAAAGCAGCATGGTTTTAGGACAGGTTACTCTTGTCTCACAAATTTATTAGTCGCTCGTGAAAGCTGGTGCGCTCCTAAGGACTAAAAGTTACCAGTAGAGGTAGCTTACATCGACTTCAGCAAAGCTTTCGACAAAGTTTCGCACAACCGGCTGTTATATAAGCTAAGGAATGTCGGGATTAAAGGCAATCTATTGATGTGGATAAAAGACTTCCTAGTTGGGCATCATCAAAGAGTACGGGTGAACTCCAAGTTGTCTAGCTGGGAAACTGTGCTTAGTGGAGTCCCCCAGGGTACAGTTTTGGGGCCAGTGTTATTCCTCTTGTATGTAAATGACCTCCCTCGTCTACTATCGTCATCATTCTTGCTATATGCTTACGATTTCAAGATATGGAGAGCGATACAAAGTAAGGGTGATAGCTTAGAACTCCAAAACGACCCGGAAAAATTATCTGAATGGTCTCAAACCTGGCAATTGCCGATAAATACTTCTAAGTGTATTGTGATGCATATTGGCCATCAAGGTACAGATACATACACGATGAATAACACTGAGCTACCTATTGTCCAGACATACAATTACTTAGGAGTCATCGTTAGTCAAGACTTAAAGACTACTGCACACTGCCGTGCAATAGCTGCCAAGGGTTTTAGAACTTTATTGTCCATACGCAGAGCTTTTAGTCATCTCGACGCTAAAATGTTTCTGACTTTGTATACAGTGTTCGTGCATCCTAAACTTGAGTATTGCATACAAGCAGCTAGCCCCTGCCTAAAAAAGACAGTGAGCTCTTGAAAAGGGTTTAGAGAACCACAACTAAGCTGATTCCCGGAATAACGAAGCTCCCGTATGTTACTAGACTGACCAAGCTAAACCTATTCCCGCTGTCATATCGAAGAATCAGAAGCGACTTGATTACAGTTTTCAAATTTCTTAGTGATAAATTTGCACTTTATATGCCCTCATTTTTCTTGTCTTCCAAAACGGAAAATTTACGAGGACACTTCAAAAAAGTACACAAGCCCAGAACGAATTACTTGTCAACTGACTATCGGCTTTCCCATCGAATTATCAGTGAGTGGAATTCATTACCTCAGCACGTGGTTGAGGCTCCATCGGTCGACTCTTTCAAAAGAAAGTTGGATCAGCTGAGAGACCATCACTGACAGGACTAACACAGGCCATCAAGCCTATTGTTCTTTCCAAACTGGAACTAGCTTACAATAATGCCTGAAATGACGTATATCGGTGCATCAACCCATGGATCTGATTAGTTATAAAGATCGATGGCGGAAAAAATGCAGTATACATCCGCATTTACAAAAACCAATTAAAACAGTATCGGATACTAAATAGTAAGCAAAGAATCGGGGCGGCAATTCAGAAGTTGCGCAACTGATTGTTGGTATGCAGATAGTTAAGTGTCGTGAAGCAAGACGATTAAGATCAAGGGGACTGGCTTTTATTTCTGAAACGAAATTTACAGGTGAGTGACTTTTGTCTTTTTCAGACCAAATGGGGATTAGTGTTGTCAACGTTTAGTGCTCAGAATGATTTAAAGCGTTTTAGTAAACTAGGGTAAGCTACTGCGTGACCCTTGGAAGTTAATTATTATAACTAGCAATCTAATAACAACAATTTTTTCTAACGTCTCTCGTTGCTTCACATTTATTATGACACTGGCACATTTTTCTTGTTCCTCATTGGTTCTTCAGTATGCTTAAGGTTACCCAATGTTTTTCTTTAATCCTAGAAAAATAAAATAGCAATACTTAACTCATATTTTCCATCAAAATAAACGACGAAGAATTTACTTTTAGACGTGTGGGGTAGGGAAAGGATTTAACGTGAATCTTTTAGCCATAATTAGTCTCACCGTGATGTCAATTAGAGGTACTTCAAGAAATATAGACAGGGAAACTGACAATGAAAATTAAACAGCGAATAAACTTGAAGCCACCTGAGGGGTTTCATCACTTCTGTTGCAAAATACTTACTATTCATGTAAACGCGGCTTACTGGTCGAGAAATTGCTCCTAGATCACACAATTATTTTAAGAATAGTCTGAGTTCATCTTAGCATCAATACTGTGTATATCTAAACCTTGGATAGTTAAGGTACTGCATCGTTAAAACATAGAGGTTTCAAGGTAAATTAAAAACATAACTCACACATACATATAGCAATTATGAGTGACCATATATATCATCATCCTTTTCTTGTTACCATGATCATGTAGATTGTGTGGTATTTGCGTCGACGAAAACAAACGCCTCAAATTGGTAGGTTTTTTAAATAGTATAGGGAAGTTAAAGGGAAGCAAGAAAGAGGAGTAAAACAACGTCGAATGAGAGTAAGCGAAAAGGACCAATGAAAAAATTATTTACTTTTTTACTTTACAGGTATACTGTTTATTTTATTTCTGCGGTTAAATGAGTTCTTGCATGTTTGTTGTGTTTCATCTCGTCCACCACATCACTGGGCTATCATAGACATGTATTCCACAATCAGGCTTATTATTTGTTTGTTTTCGTATGATAATGATACACCTTGATTATTATTTATTTGAAAACATAAATGATACAAATAACACTAAGGTACACATGTATCATATAATTAAAACGATAAGGTTGTGAAACAATACACCAAGTAAGAGTGAGTTTTATCAAAATAAATGAGTAGAAATAAGTGGATAAGAGTTGTTTAAACTGGGAGAAACAGTTCAACTAGAAAAATAGTCATATATTTCTTTCAGCTTGACAACTTCTTGTTTTTGTGAAAAATACTGGCTCTATACAGTCACTGTATCAGAACACACATTTCCAAACTTCTGCATTACTAACATAATGTTGTCACAGAATGTTAGCAATCCCTCAGAGACAACGTCGGTCGAACGCAGAAATTCGTCCAAAGTATTCTACTCGGAGAGACTAGTTTCCACAAACATAGAGCGAAATTGTTCTCACTGACGCATTGTAAATACTAACTATCGCGTCTAGACTAATATCACGATAGCACCAAAGATCGTCCAGATTGGCACATGACCTCTTTGGCTTTCACCGTGTGTAGATTGTTCTAATCACACATTCAGATTAACGAGCTCGAGTAATTCTAACTGCCCACTACCAAGGGTTCTGTCAGTATTGTGAAATCACTTTGTAATTAGAAGGTTCAAAGCACGTACCATGTCTACGGACACTGACTATCAACTGATTGAGTGTGAATTTCATGGCTTGGGTATCATTGCACAGTAAAGCAATATCATCCACATACTCAAGGTCGAAATGTCTTTCTCCAGGTACTAATACACAGCATCACTATTTAGATCCAATTTCATCCATCGACGTCTTGGACAAAGAGCTGAATTCTTTGAAGGGCAGTTCAACTGGCCTGTTACTCCGGTAACATCGATCAGGTTGTCCTGCCCTCCATAGCCAGTGACGACTGCTTCAGCAAATGAGGCGGAAGTTCGCAAGGAACTCCAACTCTTAAAACGCTACAAATCACCGGGCCCATATGACTTACCTCCAGCTTTTTTTAAAGATGGTAGTGACTTTCTGACTTAGGAATTGACTATGTTGTTTACAAGGGTTTGGGAGCTAGAAAGTGTCCCAACATCATGGAATAAGTCGATAGTCGTTGCTATCTTTAAAAATGGTTCACGTCGTTTCTGTAACAACTATCGGGGGATAAGTCTACTTCCGAATGCGTCCAAACTATTGACTTCTGTCGTATTTCGTAGGTTGTTTCAAATGCGAGAACGATTGACTCGCGAGGAGCAGGCTGGTTTTCGTTCTGGTCGAGGATGCATTGATCATATCTTCACCCTCCGCCAAATGTTAGAACACCGTCATACTTATCACAGGCCAACAATCATAGTGTTTCTTGATATCAGGGCCGTCTTCGATTCGTTGGACAGGACTGTTCTCTGAGATTGTCTATTGAAGAATGGTGTGCCTGAGAAGTTTATTAACATTCTGAAAGCCCTATATACAAACACCTCAGGCAGAGTGAGGGAATACAACCACCTTTCTCCACTGTTCGATCCAATCAGTGGGGTCAGACAGGGTTGCTCAATCTCACCACTCCTCTTCAACTTTTCCATCGATGAAACTCTGGAAACAGCTCTTATAGATGTAAGTAATGGTGGTGTGGATCTGTTGCCTGGAGAAAGACTTCTCGACCTTGAGTGTGTGGATGATGTTGTTTTACCATGCGACAATGCCCAAGCCATGCAACCCGCACTTAATCAGTTGGCAATCAGTGTCCTCAGGTACGGCATGTGTTTTGCACCCTCGAGGTGCAAAGTACTCCTACAAAACTGGCAGGATTCTCATCCTGTGCTCACCCTGGATGGTGAGCAGATTGAAGTAGTTGAAAAGTTCGTGTATCTAGGTAGCTGCATAAGTGCTGGCGGTGGCGTGAGTGTTGAGAGTGATTCACGTATAGTGGAAGCCAGAGCGTCTTATGTTAATCTGGGCCATCTTTGGCGCCTTCTTGGTGTTAGTCTGACTGTAAAAGTTCGGATCTACAACTCGTCGGTGAGAGCAGTTTTGCTCTATGATTGTGAAACCTGACCTCTCCGAGTTGAGGATGTTAGACGACTCTGTGTGTTTGATCATCGTTGTCCTCAAAGGATTGCTGACATCCAGTGGCAACACCATGTTAGTAATGCAGAGGTTCGGTATCGTGTGAGTAAGACTTTCCTGACAGGGGCTATATATTCGCGTGGCCATGTGAGAGCATTTCGAGAGGGAGACTGGACTCTCCCCACTCTCGGCCGTACCAGGGCATTTGGGGGCTTTGGGCACGGTGATGATAATTAGATTTGTGTCACCATCTTGAAACATGGACTTCGGTGACTTGGACATGTTCTATGAATGTCGTCCCAGAGAACTCCCCGTCGTGTATCATTTGTCGACGCTGGGACTGGTTGGGAAAAACGGAGAGGTGGTCAGTGTATGACATGGTGTCGTTGTATGAAAGAATGCTGCAAAGGGCTGGTTTCTGTTGGTCCTTCCTGACTCCCTGGCTGGGGTTCGAGAGATGGTGCAACACAGTGGTTAGAGACGTTATCAGATATGGCTCAGAATAGAAGCCAGTGGCGATCCTGCTGTAACCTTCTTTTACTTTCTTCATAAAAAGTGGTTATAACTTCCTTAGCTGAGAGAGTTCTTCTGTTTGTACACTTCTGTTTCCTCCATTATTATCCTTATTATTACACTAACATGTCTGGTTGCTATTGTCCTTTTCTTTTTTTTCTTAGATGCACCTTACCCTCTTTTTCTCTTCCCATTCTCATTGTTTTGTGTGGCGCATATATATCTGTTGCCCCTTTGTACCAATACTTATGTTTACCTAATTGGAGTCGGCATTAAACTACAATCAATGGTTATAGACATTGGATAACATAATTGAGAATCAATCATAGCAATACAAATCCATTCACTCCATAATCCTCTCAATTTTGAGTTTCAACATTCCTCCATACAAATCTTTTTCATTTTATCTTCTCAATACTTAATTTTTCTTACCATCACTGTTGATATATTTATTTCAACTATTCTTCCCAATTCATCCTGTTGATTTCATCTCTTATTGTTAATACGATATAACAACGTAGACTAGTGCACACATGAGTTTGACTCTGCATTGATCATGACTGGCTGAAATAAGTTTTTTTTTAAAGTTACTATTATTTTCTTTAGTATTTTGTATTTAGTTTGTTTCATAACAATTATACATATATGTATTTCTTATGTTTTTCATTTTATATGCTAGATTAAAACTACTCTTAATTAACGAAAATTGAAAAGTAACTATAACCATAATCATAAATTCTAAAGCCAAGACGTTCTCTGTCTATTCAAATTATTTCCGTAAAGTTGAATAATTAAAGTAATGAATAAATACAGGTGTATATGATTGATGTACAGAAGCCAGAGTTCATTTTACATCGGCTAGATTTTAGTCACTAGTGACACTGAACCCGACCACACATGGCTTTTCCTGGTTAACTCTTACTTGAATATGCCTTCTTGGTCGAATAATATGGTGATCATTTATTTTTATATTGTTTGTTTGAATGTTTCCATTGATGTTTAGGACTACAATTCATCAGTCCCTTATTGATAAATGCGCATCTTGTGAGGATTGCTTTAATATTGCCTTCAATCACGAGCATTATAAGCGGAGGTCAGAGTGGCTAGCAGTGGAATCCAGGACGCGCGTTTCGTCTTACTTAGAACTGGTCAGCTAGATGTAACTACATCCCACAGTTGATATTCACTCAAAGACTCGGACCCAGTATCGTTTGCTTCAAACTGCTAGCCATCATTATCTCTGTTTAGAATAATGTGTTGATCAGTTTAAAAGTGTCTAACACATGAGTCTGACTCTGCATTGATCATGACTGACTGAAATAAGTTTTTTTCAAATTACTATTAGTTTCTCTAGTATTTTGTATTTAGTTTGTTTCGTAACAACTATACATATATGTATTTCTTATGTTTTTCATTTGATATTCTAGAGTAAAACTACTCTTAATTAACGAAAATTAGAAAGTAACAATAATAATAATAATAATTCAAATTCTATAATAAATGTCTTCCAAACAAATTTTAATAAAGAAATCTAAAGAAATCATTGAAGCATCCAAACTTAAATGTCATGAAGCTGAAATTTCTGATTCTTTATGGATTGAACAAATTCAAATGTATATTGATACTTGTATATATATTAAAAATACTTTAAATAATCAACAATTAATGAATGATAATCAATTTATTTCAGCATATATTTTTATAATTTTAGGCGGTATCCTTGGTAATTCTTATACTACTTGTAAATTACATAGTAACAATCAATTGATTACACTTATTCAAGATATTTTTAATATATATTTAATAAAATTTAATGTAAAAACAATTAGACAGTTATTATTAATTAAAGTTGATCCATTAGCAAAATTTAATACTTCACCTAGTTTAGCTTCGGAAATTTTAAAAGTATCACTTCTTTATTTAGCAAAAAAATGTGACAAATCAACTAATGGTAATGATGATGATGATGAAGATTCTGCATTAACTCATTATCCATTAATACGTGATACAATTGTATGGTTAACTATAGAACTGGATTATCCTGAAATTTCTGAACATGAATTTATATCTATTTTACAACCATTTGGTTTAAGATTAACAGAAGATTATCGTTCATCTATACAATTAGCTGGTCTTAATGTATTATATAATTTAGGAAATAAAGCTAGAATTGCTGATTGGCGTCAAAGTAATCGAGCTGAAGCAGTTATTTCACAATTATTAAATCATAGAATTGCTTGTACTTCAAATTCATCAGAAATATTACTTCATAAACTTTATTCAACTTTACTTGTTCTAACTAATTTATTGAGTAATACAAATTCAGCTAATTGGTATGAAAAAATTACTGAAAGACTCTTATTTGATCTTTTAATGGAAACACGATATAAACGTCAATTGGTGCTACTTAAACATTTGTTAAAATTAATTGATATTTTAAAAGCATCTTTCTCATTATTTACCCGACAATTCATAAAAGTTACTTCAAGTATTTTACTTGGTCCACGGAAGATAACACGTGTACGTTTTTTGTAATGTTTAGTTGTTAAATTCCTCTTTTAATGCTTCATCGATTTGTCAATATTTCATTAGGTCATATTGTCCTGAGTTTTTACTTATTCAAATACATGAATATTGGTACAACAAGGCACCACATATATATGCACCACACGTCATTCGATTTGTATGGGGCTAAAATACTGTCTGGGCACCCGAACCGGAACAGTTGGTTTTCTTAGGGGGCCACTCGCCGAGCCTTTGATCTAGAGGTCTAATCCACAAGGCAGTGGAGCAACATTAGGAGATATATTCTCCTGGTAGCCGGTGACCAACAATAGGTTCATACGCCATCTGTTTCCTTGGGATCCTGGAGCCCATATGCACCATCGGTTTGGAATCAGGGTTTTCTGACTCCCCTTGGTGGACCATCCGTACCAACCAACCTGGCTAAAGTGCCGTACATTCACTCTTTGTCCTCTAAATTTCTTAAACAACACCCCTGCCGCGAGAAAGCAGTGAGAGTAGGACTTCCATGACCGTGGTTGTATACGCGTAGCCGTGTGAAAGCAATTTGGGAGGGAGAGCAGACTCTCTCCATCCCCGACCGTACCAAGGCATTTGGACGGGTACTGTCCTGAATTACTTGTATCATACAAGCTTTAAATGGGATTCTTATAATTAATCCGTATTGGTATTGTTGTAACTTCACTAGTAACATGATCGGAAATATCTCTCAGTATTGCATATCTGTAATTATGCTAATTTCAAGCGTCAAGAAAACAGAAACAGCGTTAGAGACCAGGAGTTTTTTGTAGGATCAAATTAGTGTACTTCACTTCAGCAAAGTAACGACGGAAAATCTAATCAAAGTGAAGAAAGTTAATAGTCGTAGCACAATAATATGAATTCATTTGTTTAGCAGATTATTTTCTGCTTACAACTAAAATTAACGTTGTCGGTTTTTGTGCTCCTACTCACTTTAAGACATAAACATATTGGACTACATCCACCTACTAGGTGGGAAGTATGCATTAATAAGTAGTTTTAGACTGCGATCTAGTGTTTCCTGGTTTTCGATACTTTTTAATCTGTTTAAAACTAGATTTAAGTGAGTATTACTTGGAAATAGGATAGTGATTTTTCGTATTATTTGTTCGTTAGAAAATAACTATGTTTTTATCTACCTTTTCATATTTATCTAGAATGGTAAATCTGTCACTACTAATGAGTCAAACGAATATGACACCGTGTATATGGTTATGTTGCAATGCGTCAATGAATTTGTAAAATCATGTTGGCCACTAATTTGTCCTACATTGTTACTAGATATTATTCCTCCACTGATTGCATTTATCGATCTGTTATCTTGGGATAATAAAGTTGAAATTGAAGAGGATGAGACATGTTCTCTCTTGAAAAACTTGTTTGAATCTCTTATAATATTAGAACCACGTCTTTTAAATGATGTTCTACAGCCTTTGTGTGAAACGATTCCTCACCTAAAGTTGTATCTTCCTTCTTAAACAAATATTTGATGTACAGTATGCTTATATATATATATATATATATATATAACAAACTAGTATAATTGTTTTGTTTATTTATTCAAATATAAAAAATGGGTACTACTGAGCTCTAAGAAACCCCACTCACAAAAATAAATACCTTTCACTCTTGGTACTACAACGATTTAGATGCACTAACTTGATGTCTAAGGGATTCTACTTCTACTCATTCGGTCACAGAATTAAACCCTGTTCCATGAGCAGTCATTTGGTATCTCCAGGGCTAACAAAAGTTGCGGTTCAAAGATGAGTATACGAGCTTATGTTTGGTTATTGACTTGGAAAACTAACTGTATTCATAGAGTGCATTTCCTATTGGAATTTTATAAACTAATAGGTGACTTCCAAGTGATTTGTTGTCAATTGGCTATTCGCTAGCTGATAGACGTTTACCGTGCTTGTCATTTTGTGAGATGTTATATATAGGTGGTAAAATACGATTTCCTTTATTCATGATTATATAGAGGCGATCACTCGTATATTTTCATAACTTAATTGTTAACTTGACTATCGTCCTCAAAGTGCGCTTGGTTATAAATAATGCAACTTATCTATCAACTTTATATACTTGACTTCAAGGCACACTTTTTGTGAGGGCTAGTGATATTACCCAAACCTAAGTAAACGAACCAAAGTTCAAACAAAATGACTATTGGCTAAGATCTAAGTGCTTTAGGCATTAAGCTATACTAACAAGATTATTTGGAAATGACATTCATTGTAGTTAGCTCATATCAGAAGTTCCATGTCTGATATATATTCTTCGTTTTACCAGTTATGTTCTGTTATAGACCTCACTCGTGGCCTCAGGAGACTGCGATTCAAAAATGAGACGAGGAGTAGTTACCTCTGGGAACAAATCTGTGGCGAAATTGTGTAGAGGTATTGTTAGTGGATGGCACTACGTGAAATCACTCATATGACAGTTCTCGGTAAGCTCTGGTCCGACTAACGGTATCCAAGCGAAAGGCCTTGAGTAGACCATTGTATATTTATACATGTAGTCACTAGTTATGTTTGATATATTTATTGTGTTGTGCAGTGTTCGAGTTTGGTTTTGATTCCCCACTTGCTTACATATGAGCCCAACCTGCTAATCCGCCCCCAAATGCCCTGGTACGGCCGAGAGTGAGGAGAGTCTACTCTCCCTCTCGAAATGCTCTCACATGGCCAGCGAATATATAGCCTCTGCTAGGAAAGTCCTACTCACTGCCTTCTCGTGGCGGGGGTGTTGTTTACGAAAGGGAGAGGACGAAAAGCGAATGTCCGGCGCTATAACCGGATTGGTGGACACGTAGGGTCCACCTAGGGGAGTTGGAAAACCCTGATTCCAAACCAATGGTGCACATGGGCTCCAGTATCCTGGTGGAACGAATGGCGGAAGAACCTGTCATTGGTCAACGGCTACCATGGGACTGCATCTCCTTACGATGCTCCACTGCCTTGTGGATCAGACCTTTAGGTCAAAGGCTCGGGGTGTGGTCTCCTAAGAAAACCACCTGCTTCAGTCTGGGCACCCGGGCAGTATCACAGCCCACACACAAATGAATGAAATGATGAACTCTATTGACAATAATATCCCTGCTCATACTAAAAGCAAGACAATTTACATTATTATTATTATCACCTTTATTATTATTATTTACCATATCGCTAACTCACCCCCTTTTATCCCCAATTTGTGTAACCTTACTTTTCAACTTATGCAGCAGCTCGCCCATGGTGGAAAATCTGTCCTATCTAAACGATCTCCAGTCACTGTCTGGTTGAAAGTGAATGCTTCCACCGATAATGAATACTGAAGCAGTCTTTCTGAAACCACGTACACCGTTCAAGCTGGCTTCCTTCAACGTTCGCACATTAATGCATACCAGACAACAGATAGGGCTGTTATGTCTTTGGAAGGTCTTAATGTTGATGTTTGTTGTCTATTCGAGACCCGTATTCAAGACTCTAGTGAAGTACTACAAATCCGCTCTCCATCTGTCGCTTCGAAAAGCTTGTTTCACGTGCGCTTATCCGGGGACCCTGTGGCATCTTCGTCTGGTCTTGCTGGCGTTGGTGTCGCACTAAGCGCTAGGGCTGAGGCAGCACTAATCGATTGGATCCCCATTAACAGTCGGTTATGTGCTGTTAGATTAGAAAGTTCTATCAAAGTGAGAAGAAATCGGCGTGAGAAACGGTGTCTTTTCGTCATCTCCGCCTATGCCCGGACAGATTGCAGCCCGGATGCAATCAAGGATGAGTTTTACCATTAGTTAACAGTTCTTCTCCAGAAAGCGCGTTCGACAGATATTGTAGTACTAGCCGGAGACTTGAATGCACAAGTCGGACGTCTAGGCACAGAAGAGAGTCGTTTAGGTGGCCGATGGGGACTTGTTGGTCGCAGGACAGATAACGGGGACTGTTTGCTGCAACTGTGCACAGACCACAACCTGTTTCTGACCAGCACTAACTTCCGGCACAGTCATCGCCGGTGTGCCACCTGGCGTCATCCCTCTGCATCTCAAGCATGGACTCAGATTGATCACATCGCGATCAGCTACCGCTGGCGTGGTTGTGTACAAGACTGCCGCTCCTTTTGAAGTACCTATCTGGAGTCTGATCATGCCCTGGTCAGCGCCAATCTCACTTTACTTTTCAGTGGCCGAATGATTGACCGCCATCAACGGATCGATGTGAGTAAACTGGCTGCAACGTCTGTTGCAAGTAAGTATCGAGCGGAGCTAGCTTCTAGGCTAGCTACCATCCCACCGAAAAGTATAGATGAGCATTGGTTGCATCTTCACGATGCCATGAAAATGGCGAGTAAAGCCGCTTGCGGCTTCGCGAAACGTCCCGCTTACAAGCACTGGGTTTCTTCTGGCTCCTTACAACTGATGGAAGCCCGTCGGTCTACTCCGGGTGACCGTGAGTTTGACCACAAACGAAGGCTGTTACGTAATGAAATTGAGCAAAGCTTGCGTAAGGACCGGGAAGCCTGGTGGTCGGAGCGTGCTAATGAGATGGAAGCAGCAGCTGCATCTGGTAACTGCCGGAAGCTCTTCCAACTCATCCGAGCCACTGGCAGCAAGAAGTCTGGTGTGAGTGAAACAATCTACGAGGATGATGGGATGCCAATCACTAACATCTCTCGACGTCTTGGACGATGGGCGAAATTTTTCGAAGGGCAGTTCAACTGGCCTGCTGCTCCGGCAACATGAATCAGCTTGTCCTGCCCCCCATGGTCGGTGACGAATGATCCACCAAACGATGCGGAAGTCCGCAAGGAACTCCAACTCTTGAAACGTTACAAATCACCGGGCCCATATGACTTACCTCCGGCTCTTTTTAAAGATGGTAGTGACTTTCTGACTAAGGAATTGACTGTGTTGTTTGGAAAGGTTTGGGAGCAAGAAAGTGTTCCAACATCTTGGAATGAGTCAATAGTCGTCCCTATCTTTAAAAAGGGTTCACGTTGTTCCTGCAACAACTATCGGGGGATAAGTCTATTTTCGATTGCGTCCAAACTATTGACTTAATCAGTTGGCAATCAGTATCCGCAGGTACGGCATGTGCTTTGCACCCTCCAAGTGCAAAGTACTCCTACAAGACTGGCAGGATTCTAATCCTGTACTCACCCTGGACGGTGAGCAGATTGAAGTAATTGAGAAGTTCGTGTATCTAGGTAGCTATATAAGTGCTGGTGGTGGCGTGAGTGATGAGATTGATGCACGTATAGTGGAAGCCAGAGCGTCTTATGTTAATCTGGGCCATCTTTGGCGCCTTCTTGATGTTAGTCTGGCTGTAAAAGGTCGGATCTACAACGCGTCGGTGAGATCAGTTTTGCTCTATGATTGTGAAACCTGGCCTCTCCGAGTTGAGGATGTTAGACGACTCTGTGTGTTTGATCATCGTTGTCCTCAAAGGATTGCTGACATCCAGTGGCAACACCATGTTAGTAATGCAGAGGTTCGGCATCGTGTGTTCGGGCGCAGAGACGATAATTCAATTGGTGTTACCATCTTGAAACACCGACTTCGGTGGCTTGGACATGTTTTACGAATGTCGTCCCAGAGACTTCCACGTCGTGCATTATTTGCCGACCCTGGGACTGGTTGGAAAAAGCGGAGAGGAGGTCAGTGTATGACATGGTGTCGTGGCATGAAAGAGAGCTGCAAAGGGCTAGCTTCTGTTGGTCCTTCACGACTCCCTGGTTGGGGTCCGAGAGATGGTGCAACACAGTGGCTAGAGACGTTATCAGATATGGCTCAGAATAGAAACCAGTGGCGATCCTGCTGCAACCTTCTTTTACTTTCTACATAAAGAATGGTTCTAACTTTCCTAACTGAAAGAGTCTTCTGGTTGTACATTTCAGTCTGCCTTATCTTTTCATCCCTTCTCTTGCTACTTTCATTATTTTGTGTGGCGCATATGTACCTGGTGCCCTTTTGTACTAATATATATGTGTTTAAATAAATAAAATAACCTGCTAATCCAGTGAAAAGACTGAGTGAGGAGAAAGTTTACTGACTAAACGGAGTCAGCCTATGCGTATACTTATATATATATCACTTAGAAAATCAAACCACCAATAGTGTATACCTCATTCCTTAGAAGTCCAAGCCATTTCACGTGAACTTATTATTTGGCGTACTTCTGATTAGGCCTATGCATGAATGCTTACTCATAAACCTACTTAGTCTATTATTTAGTAGTATTTAGGGTAAGAAACCAATTATAGATTGCTCATGTATCAGTTGTTTGGATTATTGATATTATGTCGCAGTTCAAACTGGTGATCCGTGTGTTACAAGTCGAATTCCTAGACCGAAGGGGCACATCGGTAAATGTGTTAAGGGAAATTATAGAAACGATCGATCTGAGTAATTTTTTATCGGTTTCTTTTATGAATCCGAATAAAACCAAAAGACAATCGAGGCGGAATAGTATAAATTCACCTTGTATCGCAGTTTATCTTCAGCTGCTTACAACTCTATTCTTTTTAAAGTAAAACACTGGGATAT